TTAAAGCTTTTACATTTATTTCACTCTGCCTCATGGTTTAACTTGCTTTAATGGTTATAAAATAGAGCAAGTGTACATACTTACACATATGATATTGAATTGCTTTTCAGGAGTATGTTGTAGCCCATATCCCTTTAAATGTTGTTATTGAAAACATAACGACCTTCCTTAATTTAAAAAAAGCTTTTGGGTTTACCAGAGAAGGTGGAATATTGATACTTATGGGGCTATTCATCATCTGTCCAAATACTCATGTAACTTCTGTTAATGTCATTTGGATAGTTTGATACCAAAATCAAGACAAAATATATTTTAAAAAAATCCCTTGGTCAATTAAGTTTATTTTGTGGCAAATAAGCCTTTCTTTGTACTTGATAAATGCTTTATATGGGAAATGTGAGATTTATTTTTACTTTAATGATTCATTTCCTTTTAAATGGTTAGGATATTTTAAATTATTAGTGAGTGTACTTTACTGAGTAGCCTTAAATTGTTTTTGAAACTCTTTTTGAATAACACAGAGCTGAGTTTATAAAAACAAATTAACAAAAAATAATAACGAAGAAATAGGATGGAGGGATAACCAAATTACTGAAGTGAGCAGTGCTGGCAAAATTAATAATGGCTGGCAACAAATATCCATTTACCTCTGTAGTAGTTTTATAATTGTTGTGGAAAGACTCTGTCAGTGAAAATGCTGAGATTAACACTTGAAAATTTTGAATACCGCAAGTTAGGTAACTGAGTGGCCTGATTTTTCAGAGCTAAGCACCTGCAGTTCCCATTGACTTCAGCCTGGTGCACAATGAGCCTGGGGCACAATGACCCTTCTTCAGGGGAGCAGAAAGGTGTCTTTAAAAATACTTCTGCACTCCCATTTCCTGAGTTGTGCTGTGTTTTCTGGTTTCAGCTGAGGATTGGGACTAGTACCTTCAGGGAACAAATAGTTATGTTTCTCTTACATATCTGAACTTTCCAGATGGTACTAGATTAAAAGATATTGTTTAGCAGTGTTTGATTTAAATATGTCAGAACTCTGCCTTTATCTAACATGATACATTGAATATGGTATTACTAGGATACCATGAATATATAACTTACATCAGTAGTTGGAGGGTTTTATGAGTGGAGGGAGAAGGAATTACTTAAATATGTCTTCACATGTGGTTAAATAGAGAATTTAAATTGAGATCTGTCACTAGCTGTGAGGCATGAGAATGAAATTGAAAGAACCTGTATGAACTGTGAGCTAATTATAATGAAACAAAGTTTATTTCAGTATTCTGCTGAGCAGTGTTGTTAATGTCAGGACTAATGAGTACTGCTGATGAATAAATTCCCTTAGAAGCAAGGGCTTCCAATAAGAGGTATGCTGATGATGCCATCAATTAGATTTAAAAAAAATACAAAGGGCAAAGGAATTCTAAACACATGAAAGTAAGTCCTTTAATTTGCATTTGTTATAACCTTTTTCTGTTGCTTTCTTTTTGTGGCAAGGGTCATAATATTTATGGTTTTGATCTGGAAGTGCTGCTGCAGAGAATTAATGTGAGCAAAGTCCCTCACTGGTCCAAGATAGGTCGACTGAGGAGGTCCATCATGCCAAAGCTTGGGGTAAAAGATTGCTTAAGTCTCTTTTAAGTTCTTTTATGTTGCATGTGATTAAAATGAATTAATTTAGCTAATGTATTTTGAATGCCTCCCTGATGTATTTTGACTGTTGGTCATGTTGGATTTCTTGCATCCCAGTTCAGACATAATGAATGTTTGTATGACTATTTTATTACAGTAATAAGCTAAACTAATTTTCAAGTTAAGCAAAATTAGTTTACATTTCTCAACTAGATGGTGGTAATGACAGATTAATAACTGTAATAGAGAAAAGATGTCTTTGTCTTTTTGTCTAGTGCAACTGTATAATGAGGGGAAAATGTGGCTTGGATTGACTGGTGAATCATCCCATAGAGAGTAGTTAAATTATATTTCACTAGTTTTATTACGTTCTTATTCTGAGAACATGACATTCTGAATACTTAACTACAGCATCTCCCTCTTACATAGTTTTTTTTTTTATAGGCCTATGCTTTTTTCTGTTTTCATCACAACCACAAAACACTTCAGTGCTTTAATTTCTCTTTTTTTATAAGGAATTTCCTCCTTCTACATAGACATTCTCTTTGAAAGGTAGGAGAAAGACAATTGAAATTTTTTTTAAGGGGAGGAGTTATTTTTGTCTTTTATTAGCTATAAAGACAATTAAAATATTTACCGGTAATTAAATTGATAGCAAAAATTCCACTTTACAAGTTAAACATTCACTTTTGTTTATCTTCTCTTTCTTCTTCCCTTCACCACACTCTGCTGATACTTTTTTGTGTCCACTTCATTCCCTGTCTTTCCCCACCAACGTGTTTTTGTGCTGTCAAATACTAAACTGCTTGTTAGCATGCAAAAATTATGGTCTTAAAAAAAAAAAATTCAGATTCTATGCCAGACATTCATTCTTAGTTTCCTGATCCTGCAAACCCTTTTGCATGTGCTTAATTTTGTTACTGAGAGTTGTAAAATTTCAATGGGGCTACATAATAACAAAATTAAGCACATGCATAGGGGTTTGCAGGATTGGGTCTTAGCTTTTAAAGGGAGTCATGTGCCCAGTCCTTCATATCCACAGGCTTTGCTGAAATATATCCAAAATTCCTTTACGACCTGATCCAAGGTCCATTGATTTAAATGGAAGATTCCAACTGCCTTGAGTGGCCTTTGGATGAAGCCACGTATGCATATATTTGAGTATGTGTTGTGTTTTTTTGTTTTTTTTTTTGCATGGATAAGGGTCGAGGCGGCTTTGCTGAAAGGAATGCAGCCTGTGGTCGGATGATCTGTGATGTGGAAATTTCAGCAAAGGAATTAATTCGCTGCAAGAGCTACCATTTATCTGAATTGGTCCATCAGATTTTGAAAACCGAGAGGGTAACAATTCCACCAGAAGAGATAAGAAATATGTACAGGTATAATGCTCAGTTTTTTTATGAAGTTCTGTGTTGGGGAATGGAGCAGCATTTAGTTTTATTTAGTTTGTCTATATAGCAGAGTACTAATACTTAGTGTTTTTCATCTTAAAAAGTATTTTCCAAACACTGTTTCTCAGAACAGTGCTGCTGTCATGGCTTACTTCATTCAAATAGAGATACATTGTGAAAATGTTACTTTAGGTACATTGTTTAGTCTACTAATCTTGAATTACTATTTGCAACTAAATGAGTTTGCTTCATAATTTGGCACAGGTACACTGCAGAGATCTTAGAGCCATGATACAGAATTTAGGCCTACTCTTCTGCAAAATTCATACCGACATGTTTTAGGTTTAAACTTGCCATTCTCCCTCTTTCTTCCCAGTGATTCGTCTCACTTACTGTACATGCTGGAGAACACCTGGACAGATGCCAGATTCATTCTGCAAATCATGTGTGAGCTGAATGTTCTTCCGCTAGCGCTGCAGATTACAAACATCTCTGGGAATGTTATGGTAATTTTGTTTTCTTTCCCTTCACCTAAAAAGCAACTATTGCCTTGTGCTTTCTGTGTTTGGTATGATTAATGCCTAGTCTGAGTCGGTGCTTGTAAATTCCTTAACTATGCACAGTGAAGAGTGTGCATCCTTTGTCCTTCAAAGAGATGAAAACTATTAGTTGGAGTACATTCAAATTCAGATGACCTCCATAGGATTTTTTTCCTCTGACATTAGAGAGTTTGTACTACGAAAGTATTTTAGGTGAAAATGGACAGATGGTTGAATCATTTGGTAGACTTGTTTACATATGGTGCAAAATCCCCACAAACAAAATTACATAAACCTGAAAATGGATATTTACCTTGTTTAAAAAAAAAAAAAAAGCCTATGTGAGAAGACGGTATCTGGTTGAAATCTGTCTTAATTCATTTTTGTGCATCAGTATTTTGCTTTCTCTAGTTTGTTTTGAATTCTTCTGTTTTTTTTCCCCCATAGTCAAGGACAATGATGGGTGGGCGATCGGAGCGTAATGAGTTCCTGCTACTTCATGCTTTTTACGAGAGAGACTATATTGTACCTGACAAGCAAGTTTTTAAAAAGCCTCAGCAGAAGCTGGTGGGTCCCAAATATGTTCTTGTTTTGACTTGCTGCTTCCATGATTTTTTTTTAGATAAATTCTTGTAAAATCACTAATATCTTTTCCTTTGCACATCATTTTCTTTACGAAAACATGAAAAAGTAATTATATCCAATCACAGGGATAGTTTATGGTCAGATCAACAAGAACTTTTCCCAAGATATTATAACCGCTTATGTCATAAGTGTGAAGTGAAAAGCCTGTGATTTAAAGGGACACTGTCAACTTGAAAAAACACATTGCTGACTGAAGTTTTTTACCTACTATAATTACAGGAGCACTTTACTTCTTTCAAGCTCAGTAATCTTATCAAATATTTTTTCAGGTTTTTTTGTGTTTAATTTGTACATTTAATGGTATTTGGTATATAGTCAGTTCCTTTATTTTTCTGTGAACCAGTCAGTTTCTCCCTTCTTGAAAAGACTTTTATAGATACCAATAAGGTTTTTAGAATAAACTTCCTTAATATTTTCTTCACATATGTGTCCCACTATAGGTGTGCAAATGTGACCAGTGTCTCAGTGGGGGCCAGCTATGGTCCCTCAATTAGGGTGAACTGCAAAGAATGGGGCAGACAGTCAGTTACCATAAAGCTGGTGGATATTCCAATACTTAGATTTACTAAGCCAGCATAAAACAGTTTCTTTATTAGCTTACTGGTTACTCAGAAGTCCAAACAACACAGTTCCCTTAAAGTGATCCAGCCTCGGGCTTCCATTCAGGTACCCCCGTCAAATATGATGATTTCTGAAAATTTTATTTCATCATAAAAAAGAAAAAATTCTACCAATCCCAAAGGATCGAACACATTAATGAATGTTTCAGATCTTACCCAAATACACACTACAGCCAGTTCTTATTAACTAAACTAAAATTTCTTAAAATACAAAAGAGAGTATGATTAAAAGATCAATATACATACAGACACGAGTTCAGTTCATTTAGGTGCAGATTCATAGCAGAGATGGTGAGCTTTGTAGTTGCAAAGAGTTTTTAGAAATAGTTCATAGGTTATAGTCCAATGCCCAAATATCCTATTCAGGGGGTACCAGCATAACTGGGACCTCAGTCTCATGACGCAAACTTCCCCTGATGAAGCCTAAGCAGATCTGAGATGACAGAATCAGGACCCAAGGGTCTTTTATACAATTTTATGTTCTCTTTGACAAGTTGGAGTTCCTCAGGGAAGGAAAGGTAATGAGGATGACTTTGAAGGAGGTCCATCATCAGTATTTAGCTATAGAATTAACATAAGGCCATTTGCTTCTTCCTCCACCATTCACAGATTATTTGCTATACATTTCAAAGAGAGATGAATACCAAGATATCCCGTGTTTACAATTCATTTAAATGCTAGGATGTTCTTTTGACCTCTGAATGATCAGAATACAGCATTGACAGGGACTGTTGATTACATTGTTGACCCTACTCATACATATGTAAATACACAAAAACACAAACATTATCTCCCCACATGTCTTTTGAGGGTTATTTATTTGGCAGGATGTTTAACCCTTTCTAGCCACGTGTCACAGCAAGACTGGATTTTTCTTGACTAACGGTGTACAGGGGTGCACATGTACCTGGTGCTCCTCATTCTTAGAAGGTTTGGAGTTTAGCTTGAGCTAAGTCTAGCAGGTTGGACATCAGCTAGGTTCCTGCTTATTACATGTGGAAGTTTGAGGGCTAATCCTCCTGAAAGACTCACATAGCAAGTGCCTATTTTGCCTGGGAGAGTCCCATATCCCTAGCAGGTGCTTGGTCTGCCTATCTTTCTCTGCAACAACTTCAAGTCGCAAGATGTGAGGCTGAAGCTCTTTCTTGTGGAATGATCCATGAAGGTGGCATTAGCTCCAGAAGAGCTATGCTTCAGGACCTGACTAATGGGCAGGCCTGTGTTGTCCAGTGGTCCCTCAGGCAGATAGGTATCTTCAAAGATATCAGTAGGAAAATTGACACTGGGGCATCAACAATGGGGTAGGAGCTCAGGAAGGAGCATAGTGTCCTCACACAAAGAGGCACAGGAAAAAGTTGTGTGATAAGCCCACCAAGTCTGATATGGTGCCAAGCATGAGCAGAAAGGAGCAAACTGTCGTGCAACTCGCTCTGTTCATACTGGATCTGGTAGTGGAAGCACCCATGTCAACTCCAGCATCAGGAGAACAGATTCAGACTATACCAGGGACATTTTCGGTGCTGAGATGCCCAACAGCAGCAGTCACTTTCATGGTTTGATTATAATCAGTTTCACTTTCTCCCTTACTTGCACTACTACACTGAGGCAATGTTTAATTCATAAAAAAAATTCTTATCAGAAGTAAAAAAATGCAAGCATTGCTATTGATCTAAAGTGTGTTGGGTTTTTTTAAAAACACTATTTTCGTAAACTGGATTTTGGGCTTAAATTAATTCAGTAATATTCTTTTAAAATAACTTCACTTTCTCTCCACCATTTGGTGTCAGACTGTCCCACACAACATAGACTAGTGCTCTGTTCCATGGTGACGATTCCTAAAAGACTGTGTAATCTGTTGTGATCAGTCTCTTCCCAGAGCAGTGCAATTTTGTGATGGAAAGAGCCTTAATCAGGATATTAATCAACATATTCATGTAGTAGATGTCTGTTAGAAAAAACTCCATTCTTATCCCATTCATTCCAATTTTTCTTTTTCTTTTGTAAATTAAGACTTCTAAATTAGAAACTTGATATTATTTTAAAAAGAGGCTAGATGTCAGAATTTTTTATGCCAAATACAGGTGGATGAAGATGAAGGTGTTGAAGATCAGAATAAATCAAAGATAGGGAGAAAGAAGGCAGCATATGCTGGGGGTCTAGTCTTGGATCCGAAAGTGGGTAAGATTTGGCAATTTTACTGCTCATAACAGTGTATCAGGTTATAAATGTGAAGGTTAGCTCCAGCTAAACTAAAATGCTGTTACATTGCTGTTTGTTCAAAAAGTTTCAAAGCAAAAGGCAGGGAAAATCCCCAAGCCCCTTGTATATGAAAGGAAAAAAATTCAGAATAATGATTATTAGAAAGGCCAGAATCTTGGGAAGGTGGGGGGAGGGGGAGAAGCAATGTAGCACAACTTTCTTGTAAGGATATAGATGCAGAAGTAACTTTATATATGTGCTTTCCATTTTGGGAACAAACAGGGAAAAAAAGCTTAATTTTGTTTGCCAGTAGAGTAGTATATCTTTCATGCAGCATCAGGGAGAAATTAGGGTTTTTTGTGTTTAGATTGTGTATAGCATATTTTGCTAATGGATGCTTAAGGTTTTCTTAGTTTCTCCTATATATGGTGATAACTGTACAAAAGCATCCTACAGTAATACAGAAGCTATCTGTTTAACCCTGGCAAGTTAAGAGGGGTTAGATCGTTCCACTTCTGACATTGATTAATCACTGGCTAATAGCACATCTGAACCTTTTCTTAGGACTGTTGATTAGACACATCACATAGTGCACTGGTCTCTGAATCCAAGCTGCTTCTCAAGCTTGTACAGAGCACAGTATAGACTGGCAACACTCAGCTTAGTCTGGGTTCAGCCATGTAATATGTGAGTGGGGGTCACTTCTTTTCCGGCAAAAACTTACGACACTCACGGCCCTCTCCCAAATCTCCCCACTTCATTGTGTGAAGTCTTCTCCTCCCCCACCACAGATGCATTCATATTAGTCACATTTCTTGTTTATAGTTACAGAATAGGGCCCTGAAACTCAATGGAAATCTTTCATTTGGCTTTAATGGGAGTTGGATCAGGTACCTAGTGGGGATGAATAATTATATGGATCCTCACACTGTATTTTTATTTCAGGTTTTTATGACACATTTATTTTGCTTCTGGACTTCAACAGCTTGTACCCTTCAATTATCCAGGAGTTCAACATATGTTTTACCACAGTGCAGAGAGAGTCATCAGATGCACAGAAGAGGGCAGAGGTTTGTGTGTGCTTTATTAATGTTCTGATTTGAGGTTCAAATCTTCAGTGTGTTTCATGTGAATTAAATTGTAACAGCATCCTGGCTGGAAACTGATCCTACATGCTTATCATTATCATCATCATTATTTTTACTTTTGGTAGCACTCACTACGTGCTTGGTGATTTCCAAACCCGCAAGGAGGACAATCGTTGCTGCAAGGAAGAACGCAATCTAGGGAATTGTCTTTTTGCTTCCAAGTTCCTTGAATGTGCTATCTGTAACTATTGCATCTACTTCCTTTCAATAATACTCATCATGCTTGCACCCCTGGCATGTTGTTCCATTCCTTATCCTCTCCCGTACAAGAGGATTTATTGAGGGCTTAGTCAATCCTGTCTCTTCTTCCTCTACAACTTCTTTTTTCTGCTGCTAAATCCCTTTTCTGTGCCTTGTCATCTCTCATCCAAACTAATGAAACGTGTTTTTTTTCTCATCCCTGGCCTCCTTGCATGTTCTCTTGCATCTGTACAAAAGCACTACAGAAATAAACTTCCTGTCTTGCCATTCTATCCTCCTCCCATGGGCTTCTTCTTGTCTTCACACTTGGGTTCATGCTTCTAATCCTTCTCCCCTTTTAGTCACTACACCACTCCACCTGTATCTACATCTGTTTTAATTTCTTCCTACAGTTCCTTGCAAGCTGCTTTTCTAAACTTGCCTTTTGTATTCTCCTTCTGTGCTCATCTTTGCATATTTCCATATCAGTCCTTTTATGCTTGGAACTCCCTCCTTCCGTTCAGCTGAACAAACACTCTCCTTATTCATGTTTCTCCTTATAAAACATTTCTTCTATGAAACCTTTCAATTGCAATTTACCAGATGAGGTTGGGGAAAATCCATACAGCTGTAAGATTGGACCTTCACTTGGTGTTTTATGTCTCTGAAGTGTATTGGCTATCTGATGCAAAATGTATGTCTCATGGGGCATACTCTGTTTTACAGTCCTGAACACCAAAAATGTTTAACTGGAGAATATGAATTGACTGGAGCCACCAGGGGTGTTTGACTGTCTTTGTGGTACTAAGTACTTGAGCTCCAGACTAACAGTATGCCTCTTCAGTTGGATTCAATGATGGAATATACAGTGTGTCAATTCAGGAAGCCTGTTCTGTGCCTGCTGTATTTGGGGGGGTGCAGGTAAAATGGATTGATTCAAATCAAAGCTATTTAAATCACAAATTTTTACTAATGATTTTAAATCATCAATTTTAACTAAAAAGTACAAATGCAAAACATGATTATCTTCCTAAAATAAGGTTGATTCTCATTGGTTGGTAACCATTAAAACATTGATTTGCAACTAAATATATCCTTCACACTTCATTTGGTCCTTCTTTCTGCAATCAGGAGGATACACTATATATCTATATACAATTATTTAAGCAGTTATATAGCTTAACTTGCATTTATTCAGATGCTTAATTTTTATATTTGTATTACGTTAGAAACTGGTGAATCATGCATTTCTTATTTACTTGGTGCTTAACTTTTTACATGTGATCTGCGTGAAATTCTATTTAGGTGGCAATTCAGATTCAGTTAAAAATTCACAAAATCAGCATTTTAGTTTTTCTTTTTTAAAAAATAAATAAAACTACCTTAAATGTGCTGGATACATAAGAAAAAAGCTGATTTAAAACAGTTTTGCATTTAAAACCATGTCCTTCAAGATTTTACAACTAGGAGATCTGATCTTCTCACACCTAGGACTTATCTGCACAGCATCGGCGAAGCATGCCAGAGTGGGTGTAATTTGTAAAGGTCTAATATGTTGTGGTCTAACTGCCCCACGTAGACCCTGCTGATGTGCACTAAAAAGTACCTAGTTCACGTTAATGGACTATGTTAACATGAACTTGGCACCTTCTGGAACACAACAGCAGAGTGTACCCAGGGCAGTTAGAGTGCTTTACAAATCGCACCCCTTTGGTGCACTTTGTTGGTGCTCTATAGACAAGCCCTTGGTTTTTATTCAGAGATTGGAAGAAGAAAACAAGCTTTTCTGCTTTTTCAGTTCCCAGTTGGTTTCTTAAATTTGAGTGAGCTAGTTGTTGAATTGAACTAGTTGAATAAACTGAAATGAAGAAAAAAATTCTATTTGCACCTACAGAAGTCGCTATGCTGTCAAAAGCTGGTTTAATACTTCAATAAACTCTGCTTAGCCAGTGACTTCAACCAGTTCAGTGGTGTGACTTTCTTTAAAACTTGCCAGCAAACACAGATAGTTTTTTGTTTTTATTGTAAATGATTTTAATGGACTATAATAAATTTAGGCTCTGACATGGGTTGTTAGTGTCAGATTTAATTTTCAATAGGTTTATTTTTTAAGACTAAACCTGAATTTAATTTAA